ATATATATATACTTAGGACTATTCTTCTCAAAATTATATGTCCACTTTTCTATACTTTTTGAATCCAATTTGATCTGTAGGTTTTTTTTCAGTTTTTGATTCTTTTTCATATTCCTAAAAACCGCGTATAATCATAAATCTCCAGAGTGTAATTTATCTGTTCTAACATTTTTATTGATAGAATAGTACCCAGGAACATCTCTCACAATCAGAGATATATCGGAGTTTCTTTTCTGGATACTTTGCAAAGAACCAAACATTAAAGATACTAAGGTATTATATCAGCCACATTGTGATATAATCTATAAATAAGGAAAATTTGCCCTATCTTTACAAATCTTTGTTATTTTTATTGTCTTACTACAATGACCACAACCTGTAGTTTACTGTGAAAATGAAACAATAATAATAGACATTATCTTGCATCTGGTCTTAAAAAAATTGCATCTAATGTTGCGTTTCATTTCCCGTCAGCAACACAATTACAAATAATTTTTTTAAAATATAGTGTCTTCCATGTGACATAACAATTTCACATTTGCAGAATACTTGCACATGTATTACCTCATTTATTTCTGCCAGTTTCCCATCAGTAGAGCCTGTACTAGAGATACAATATGCTGTGCTTTTAAATTAAACAGAACTATTAGGAGAATTTCAATTTTAGTAAGTTTAAAAATCAACTCTGCTTTCAAGGATACAGCAGTTTGACTTTGTAGTTGAGAAGTTTTCTGTGACTGGTGAAATGAGAAATTATCTGAACTGTCAGATTAGAAGAAGATTTTAAAAACTTACTGTCATGTTTTAATAGTCTTGTCAATTCTAGATTCACCTTTTAATATCTGTTTCAGAGTAGGAGGAAATCGAAATGGTTCAAAACTCCTTCTGTTGTCATAAATTTATATAGGGAAAGTTGAGCTGAAAGTATAATAGTAGAATTCATAGATTTCTGCAAATGAAAGTTTTCTGCAAATGAAAACATTTGATCCCTCCTTCTCTTATTGTCTTTCCTATTAGTTATGTCATATCTTATTTTAAAAGAATGTCCTTGAGAGGGTACAGAATATACTTCAAGGGTCTTTAGCCCTTTTCTAATTTGTATATGGTATAAAAAATTTACGCTTATGTTGGGAGGCAGACTGGTACAGTATGAAGGACTGGGCACCAGGAGATCTGGGTTTGGTTTTGATTCTTCTACCAGGCAGATAGAAGACTGGAAAAGTCACATTGTAGGTTTCCTCCTCAGTAATGATGCTTGTTCTCAGTAAGATTGTTCCAGTTGTAACGTGCTATGATTCTAGATTTTGTTTAGTCTTTTTCTTCTAAAATATAATAGATAAATGTAGAACTTAGTTAAATCCTATGTTACTCATTAGCTTTGTGTCTCAATAACAAAGCTGTAGGGTTCGGACTTCACCTGGCTTTCTCTTGTTGTTTCTGTCACATCACATGGAGTTCATTAGTGGTTGGCTTACTTTTAGATACACATCTCTCTCTAAGACTTAAGTCCAGTTGGTCATAGAAATTGGCTAAAACATTATTCACAAAAATACTGACTGAAGTGACTTCAGGTGGTGAAATTTAATTTGTGCATGTTGCTTTTTCTAATTTTCTGATTAGAGTGACTGCTTTCTGAAAAAAGAAGCTACTGCTGTGAATTTAATGGGAGAGAATGAATATATTACAGAGAGATCAATACCTTTGTTCATGTGGGTTAATAATATTTGTGGGAAGACAAAAATATAGCTAAGCTCTGCTTTATCATATACCTTTGTCAAAACAAGATTGGATTTATTATAAAAACTGAGAATTTCAGTTACTATTTTGATACTAATAATGATGAAACTGTTGCACTTTTTTGAAGAATGCAAATGAGATATAATCATACATTATTCATCTTGCTTTCTAGACATAGGGGATATTTGTGATGTTGAGGATGAATTATTTTTTCTGAGTTGGCAGAATTTTAAATAGGTTTTTCTAGCTATTTGACTACATGTAATTTAGCTTTCTTCTTTGGGATACCCAAATTAGCCCTAGTTTGAATGAACAAATTTATTTATTGTAAAAATTGCAACCCACTATTCTTTACGTAAGCCAGTTTGACTGATTATGAGCAACCAGTGGGGTCCCTCCCACCTGTATGTCTTTCAAACGTGCTTAGTTTTAGAATAAGAGCCTTTTAGTGTGCAGGTATAAGGTGTCCTTAGGTCAAAATGGACCCAAAAGGATTTAAT